TTCTGCAGACTTCTCTTTAATGAGACAACCCTGCAAACAGGAGGTCGACCTCAGGGGATGGAGGATGGGGCAGTCAGACCTCACAGGCCTACATGCCTGCCTGTGCTCTGTGTGGTCATGCCAGCGCCTTCCGGGTGGCTGCTAAAACTCACCTGTTGTTGGGAGCGACCAGTTGCTTCTCTGCCAAGGGGAGGGAAGAGCCCACGATGATTTCTTGGACTGGGTGGTGGATGAGGGGAGTACATAAAGCTGGCATTTCCCACCGGTCTTCTGGATGGTCCCGCCTAAAAGAAAAACTTATGTCTCTGAGGTACTAAATTGTGGGAAAGAAGCACATCAACATCAGCCTGCCAGCTCTAACAGCAATGTCTGAGCTTGCCTGCCAGCTGTATTTCACTGGACAGCTGTGACACTGGACGCCTGGTTAAGGAAGGAAAGGAAATCACGGGGAGAAGGAGAGAGACAAGGGACATGACTTGTTCCCACCTTTGATTCATTTCCCTGCAGTCCTCTCCAGCTGCTGATCCTCCTAAATTCAATTCATCTGCCTGTTTCTGCGTATCTCCTGATTCTTGGCTTGGCTGAAGGTCTCTTAAATCTGAGTGCATCTGACACTTCCTTGCTCTGGCTGCTGCCCCTCCCTCCCTCCCTCCCTCCCTTTTCTTTTCAAAAACCCCACACTGGACTGAGGACCCTTCTGGAGACAGACCGCTCTGTCTCTCATCCTCCCTTGCTCAGTCATCTGTCCTTCTTCTTTTCTTTCAGATTAGCTACTCAGCCAAATTCACTGAACGTGTGAGCTGAGGATTAAATTACTCTGCTAATTGCAGCCAGGTTCCTGTGTCCAGGTAAATGCATACCTCTATGCCAAGGGCTTTATGAAACACGGTGCCAGCCAGGCATTCTCGTGTGTATCTCGGGTGTTCCTCCTGTATAGTATTCAGCTGGCATTCCTTCTCAGTTATTATTCTTCCACAACTCGAGATCTGCCATAAACAAATATAATGTAACTAAGAAGGACAAGACAGGACAAGGTATGTTTTTAAACAGAGCCCAATTTCCCAGAAAGGCTACCTTCTCTTCCCAGTCAGTTACCACCGCTGCTTCTGCCACGGTGCTGGAACTCACCTTCTGAGCACAGAATTGTCAGTCATTTCTTTGACCTCGGGGACCCCATCAGCCAACTGAAGAGGGCAGGAGAGCCCCAGTCACATTTCCTAAAAGCTGTGGGCTCAGCCTTGCTCTTCAGGGGCCACTGCCCAAGTCAGCGGAGGACAATTAAATACTTGCCTTCCTACCACGTAGGGGTTGCATCTGCCTGTGCTAAACAGAGTCACACCCAGGAGTGCATAAGTATTTTTCAAAATGTCCAGCACATTCACCTTTACCAAATCCTTCAGTCTTCCACTGAAGTCTTTTAAAAAAATAACACTGTACCTATTTAAACAGCTATTAGAGTCAAAGATGCTTAGATGTCACATTTTAAAAACCTAAGAGAAACAGTAACCTAAGGGAATCAATGCTGCTGGGGGATATGGTGTGGGGGAGAACTTTGGGATCGTGTGGCTTTGATCTGGCATAGCAGAATTGCACGTGTTTGGCTGGTCAAATTATTACCAGTGACAACACATACTTCTAAGAAATGAACAACAGGACTATCAGTGATTTGACTTGTGCAATATTAAGAGAAACAATTCATTCTTTTCTTTTTTCCTCAGAAAAGGAAATTTTTCTATCTCACCAGTCCTGATCTCTGATGATGTTGTCTTATCCAGGTATTGTTGATGTACTTAGTCAAGTGTTTGTCCTTCGGACTGTTGTAGGTTTTCAGTAATCTGAAATAAAAGCAATATAGATGCATATAAGTCCCTTGACAGCCAAATTATTACAGCTTAATTTACAAAGACCTGCCCAATAGTTTGCTGCACAAAATGCTGTCTCATTGAATCATGCCCAACATTTGCCAGGTAAATGCCCATCAGATTATGTAAAAGCAACATCTTACGGCTTCCGGAGGATTCCTATCAGAAACAAGAGACCTCTACAGCGGACAGAGCAGCTCAGCACCAGATGGTGTAGCACCACCAAGGCACAGGCTCCAGCAGAGCCCAGCCATGGAGGTCTCCTCCAAGACCAACCCCCACAACAACCTCCTCAAGATAACAGACTCTTCCGAGATTTTAGAGCGCGCTTCCAAGGCTTGAGAGAGACCCACCAGACAGCACTGCCACAGCTCTGAAGTGCTGTTCGGTCCAGCAGACTCCCGGGACTGTACTGCTGTAGAGGCCAGAAGGGTTGGGCCGGGCTCCTCTCTGCTGGGCTCTTCCCCTTCCCAGAGCCCTGGCACAGGGGTGCCAAGTCCTCTTCTGTATCCAGAGCAATAAAAATGAATGCAAGGCCTCCTCAAGTCTCTGCCAGTTCCCATGTCAATATGCTAAAGGTTCTCTAATGCGTGCCTTGAACAATCCAAAGTGAACAAATTCACCTCTCTCCTATTTATTGGTGAAAAGCTGTAAGACCAACAAAGGAAGAACCAGACCACGCAGCCCATCCAAGCAGGACCCTCCCCTGCTCTACCCAAGGCACGTCCTGCATCCCTGGGAAGCCAACAGAGCTGAACCATCACAGCTACCAAAGAGCAGAGGTTCCAAAAACTGAACCTCAGGTATGAGTTGAACACAAAAACTGAAGCATCCATAATTAGCAGACACAGTTTTAAATAGTTCTCAGCACAACCTTATCTGACTTCACCCTCTGGAAGAAATAACCAAGGAAGTGACAGTAGGCTTCAGTTTTTAATACTCTAAGTCCACTCACATTTGTGAGTGCATAAATTTATTGCATAATACGTTCAGTCTGACCTTTGGGCTCTCTAGGCAGGTTGTGTTTTAATTACACAAGAGATTGAACTCCTTTGCTTCCTTTGGTTTTACATTTAAATTCCACCACACCTGTATTACACATCTTTCAACAGGATAATTCAAGATAAATGTCTGTTGCTATGCTGAATTACCACACACAAAGGTGTACTCAACAAAAGAACGAGCAATTGAAAAAATTGTCACCTCTAAATCCTCTACAACAGATATAAGTGCAGAACTGACAAAAACGTGTGTTAGAAAAACAGACAGCAAAGGAGGAGAATCAGTCTTAAGCAGTACTGTACAAAATGTTTGTTACAGCGGTATCATAGTAAGTCCAAAAAGTCTTTTTAAAAATTTTTGTTTCTGGGACTCTTATTCTCTGCTGGTTATCCTGTTTCTTTTTCTCTCTACAAATTCTCGGTATTTACTGGAATTGCTGAACAATTTTCCTAGCACAGAAGCTAGACGGACTGATCTGTAGCCTCCAGGACAAGAGTCGAAGCTCTGCTCAAAACTAGTATCACATTTGTTTCTCTGGTATCACAGACAGTAATTACATATCACTGATAGTTCAGTAATTTCATTTAAGGTGATTTAGAATGCTTGGATGTACACTGTTTGTTCCTGATTTTTTTTTTTTTTTCTTTGCTCAAAATCCTCCTTCACTTGCACCTAAATTTGAGTCAAGTTCCCCAAATTCATACCAAATCAAGTCTGACTCAAATGAGGCAATCTCCTCAAAATTCTTCAGCAGGGATGTTCCAGATGTAGCACTTTTACTACAGAGCTCCTGAGAAATGGTGACATCCCCTTTTAACAATACCTTTTCAATGGGCATCCACTTTTTAAAAAAATAAATGTTCTTTACCTTGCTTACTATCATAGATGAGAATATACTTTATATTAAAGATTAGATTTTTGGAGCTTCAAAGGAAAAGGTCACCATCAAAATTATCTCTGCTTCTCACCTGTCTAGAATGTTAAAGTGAGGGACCATATACCATGGGAAAAAGGAATATTCCCCAATTTACATATCCCTTGCATTAACTAGCCATTCTACTGAAACAGAGCAAATTGGGATTACAAAAAGAACACCAACCAGAGCAGAGCTGATGACCAGGATTTTAGCCAATTAAGGAACTGTCCACTTGGAACTCCGTATTCAGCAGGATTTGCATTGTAGTATCACTGCCACTATTATTTATTACCAGTATCTGGTTTTTCTCAGCTTGCAGTGCACAACACACTGTACTCAGGGCCAGGGCTGTGTATCACAATGATAATTTTAAGACTGCTCTTGCTCATTCGAAAGGATATCAAGACAAAGTCACAGCAGGCATCCCGTGTCAGTTTTGTAAAGCAAATCTTTGCTGTTAATAATTTACAAGGCAATTACATCAGTGACTGCCTCTCAGCCAGCCAGCCCTGCCCTGGT